TAAACTGCTTCGAGGATAGCAAAACACCGATACCCGGTTAGCACTTGATGAAAAAATTCTAGTAGATCGTTCGCAGTACAACTCGTACAAATCACCTTAATACCGTTGCAGCGAAAATAGTGAAACAGCGTCTCGACCACACGGAAAATACTGAACTTGCACGGATCGTGGCGCAGCAAGAACGCAACTGAGTCCGATTGACCTGCCGACGCTGCTTTAACTAAAAGAGTATCCGTGTAAATGAAGTGCTTCACACATTGCAGGTCTTCATCGCGACAATACTGACTATCATGCACCTGACCACTTTCAGCGGATATTTCCATCGCCGTCACAAGCAAAGACTTGCACACTTCCCACTCAGTGCGTAATAGAAGTATCAAAGCATCTAGTCGGCCATTAGTTGCTGCTTTCTGCACTGCAAGTCTGCGATTGTAAGCCTCATGCTCTGTCAGGAGAAACTCCAGAACCTCGCAATGCCCGTTTGTGGCTGCCTCCGCTATTGCGACTTTGACGTCGTACACACTGGATTTACTTTGGATTTTTCTAACAAGATCGAATTGGCCTTGCGACGCTGCATTCACTAGGACCGACTCGGATGGATACCACTTCGTTTCACTATCCAAGGTTTTCTGTCGACCCCTCCGTGTCATGAGTGGAGCAGCTCTCAGCTCGCCCCAGTCGAAGGCCGGATCGTTCGTGATGATCCAGTTAATCAGATCCTGTCGACCGTAACACTCGGCAGCTTCCATGACCTCGTACGTCTTCCACTCTTTGTTGTCGAACACCCATTTTAACACTTCCACGTTGTGAGCCTCGCCAATTCTAAACATCGAACAGGAGCGTGTCGTGCCGAATTTACGCAAAACACGCATCCAGCCTTCTTTGATTGCCTTGCCGATGCCTCCAGGGAGTTTCATGAAACTGTGAATTAGGTTTTGCACATGAGGAAGCCCTTGGACTCTGGGGATCACTTGAATACTCTGGGGATCACTTGAATACTCTGGGGATCACTTGAATACTCTGGGGATCACTTGAATACTCTGCAGAACTTCCGTGCACGCTTCCCCCCTATGGCGCTTGTTCTTGACCGTATTGTGGTCCATGTTCACGACTTGGTGAATTTTCACTTGTGTCTTCGCTGGCGAGAACACCACTGGAGAATACTTGTATGCCTCCATCAATCCTTTCCAAGAGATTCAGAGATTTTCTTTTATTGAAATAGGGAAATGGTGCACACTGCAGTCACTGGCGTTTGTCCAGACACATCCATCTCCAGCACCTTTGCACATGGTAAGACAGCACTGCTGGAGGTCGAAGCGCAAGATGCTGCCCCTTCACCGAAAGATAGCTTACTCACAATGTGAGTAGATGGTATTCATCGCAAGCGCAAAATGCCGCCAGATTGATCGGTCAAGAAGCTGGCAGTAGACGAAGTGCTGGCGGGAACCCTCGCATGGGTGACTCCACCGAAAGGTACGTGCATTGCCGCCAACTTCAAGCTGCCCCTGGCCGGAAACGTGGCCATAGTGCAGGCTCAAAAGCCTGACACACGGTATTCGGCGCGTGGCGGTCCAACGTGGACCCCACTGCGGTCTCCGTACAGGTGTGTGCTACTTTGCCAAGCCCCGTTCGCAGCGGTGTGGCAACCACAGTGGCCGTCCCATCCTAGCGATGCCGCAGAGGACAGCGATGTACATGTCGAAACTCGCCATTGGACAGGCAATGATTGCGAGCACATGTCAAAGCATTTCGTTTAACACAGCGCCAAGAGCTCTCGATGGCTGGCAATGCTTCATGCACGGGAGGCAAATCAGAATCCCTGTCCTGTCGACGAGCTCAAGGTCTTCGGAATGAAATGAGCGCTGGATTCCTCGGGCACTAGCGGCTTGGGAAGCAAAGCAAGCCTCAATAAAAAAGAATTTTAGAGTCAGAGTGTACGACTGCCTTCGGAGAGGAACGACGCAGGACTATTGTCGACACGCGCTGGATTGACTGGCCAGCACGCGCTCCTGATCCGTTGCAAGGGTAAATGGCATCACAGTCTCCGATATTGGAGTGCACTCTGCTGTCTTTCCCGACGTCAAGACGGCGCTGAAGCAATTGTTGCGGCGTGTTTGCACTGCTATCGACGGATTACGAGAGGCAGCGAAAGGTGGCGGCGTAGTTGCCGTCGCTGCTGAGTAAGACGGCGCCGCTCTTGAACTGGTCGGCGAGGTGTTTACTTTCGCGACTACACTATGGAAAAGGCAACAAGATTTGCACGGAGACCTCGACCTTA